TAATATAAAGTAATGTTTAGGAAAATATGATTCCAGTTTCAAAGAACCCAAAGTCTGCTCTGGTCTGAACATAAATATGTAACCTTAAAGTTCTTCGCTTCTAAAATTTGTAAGGAATAATTGTAAATGAGTGTATGCTATGTTAATATAGTTCCAATATTCAATTTCTGATTTTCACTGTACTGTCAGGTCAGAAATATCATCAAAGACATGTTACAAACTCAAGTATGACTGTATTCTTTCATTGTAAACTGACTTTTGAGAGTGCTTGCAGTAGAGTGAAGTCAAAAAATCTGTGAAATAGTGTACTGGGGGGTGGGGGGTTCTTTCTCCAGGGTAAAAGTACTGGGGATGCTCGTCAGAAATGTTCAAAAAGACCCCCAATAGACCCCTTGCATGTGACGTCAAAGCAGCTTCATCTGGAGGACAAAACAAAAGATTTTTAACCTCTTGGGAACTAGAATCYATTGTTTTGTCCTCCAGTTGSAGCYGCATTCCCATGAACTGCAAGGGGTCTATTACGGAAGCCCAGAAGGGCCACCGGCAAGTTAAAAAACGTGGCGTACATTTGAGACGTGATGGCAAACTTAATCCGTTGGTGACRAACTAAAYSACAGCATGGCAAACTTAATCTTAAGGTGGCAAACCATTTTTACGCTGGCAAACATACAACTTTGACGGCAAACTTGATTTTTTGATGGCAAATGTAATTCGGCGGATCGGCAACTTTTATTTTATGATGACAAATATTGTTCTTTTGTACCGCAAACTAATTCGTCAACGGCAAGCTAATTCTATAGACGTCAAGTTTAACTTTGTGACGGCAAATATAAATTCTTTAGAAGTCAAACATAAATTTGTTCCGGCAAACTAATTCTGTGGACGGCAAATTAATTCGGTAGACGGCAAACTAATTTTGGAGACGGCAAACTAATTTTGGAGACGGCAAACTAATTCTGTGGATCGGACGGCAAACTAATTCGGTGGACGGCAAACTAATTATGTAGACCGGGCAAACTAATTCTGTAGACGGCAAACTAATTTTGTAGACGGCAAACCAATTCTGCAGACTGCAAACTAATTCTGTAGACGGCAAACCAATTCTGTAGACGGCAAACTAATTCTGTAGACGGCAAACCAATTCTGTAGACGGCAAACTAATTATGGAGACAGCAAACTAATTCTGTTGACGGCAAATTAATTATGGAGATGGCAAACCAATTCTGTAGACGGCAAACTAATTTTGTAGACGGCAAACTAAATATGGAGACGGCAAACTTATTATGGAGACGGCAAACTAATTCTATACGTAGACGACAAACTAATTTTGGAAAAAAATTTGGTGGGCTATAGTCCATGCACTTTCATGAAAAATCACGANTTGCATCAACAAATTAATGTAGTGCAATGGATTTTTTTTTTTTGTTAGCAAAAATAAATTAGTCTTGACAAAACATGTACTCAAAATCTGACCCTTGCATCACATCTTCATCCAGCATGCATATCTTTTGGGAGCTCCGCTATTAGGTTTTACCTAATTTTTATATTATATATTTACGTAGTACGTACAAACCTATCCCCATGGGGCGGGGGATCAAATTAATCATTTTGTCTTCTTACTTTGACTTCGAAGATCGTTCAACTGCTCGCTGTTCATTGCACCATCGATGATATACAGATCCATAGCTTCACCATGAAACTGACGGTTAAGATGATGTCGGTTTGCTGTCCCTATGTCGATAACTGCTGAATTAGGCTTCCATGCATGTTGTTCCTTGGGGCATGCGGTTGATTAATAGTTGTTTGCCGTCTTTGAATAGCTCAAAGACAGATGATTTGTTGTTCCATGTAACGGCAAAGTGGAACCATGTGTGTTTTTGAATAACATGTTCAGGATATGTGTCGTATAATTGTATATTGCCGTTACTCTGTCGTATATAAAACATCAACTTTCCACTGTTCAACCCAAGTATCCAAGGATAATGTGGAAAGGACCAATCACTAAGAATGGCTTGTTCACCCGATTTAAGTGGATTGTAAGATTTAACCCACAATGCAATAGTGAAGCTTTCCTTAGAACGAAGATCGACACCGGGGATTCTGGCATATGAAGGTGTGCTGATAAACTGAATGGCTTTACTTCCTGGTAAACGACCGTCAACAAATTTCGGTGGTCCATCATGAAGCCTGTAGCCAGAAGAAGCCAAGGAAACAATAATTGAACATACTCTGTTTCCGGTCTATTTCCTTCAATGTTGTCGGTGCGAAACCGAACGTTTACATAAGATGTTCGTGGAAATGCAATTCCATCCAGAGGATAAAACAATGGATTCTACTCTCCAAGAGGGCAAAAATCCTTTGTTTATTTTCCAGAGTATGCTGCTTTGACGTTACATGCAAGGGTTTAATGGGTGCTGACCGTGCTATTACTTAAACATGATAACACTCTAGCAGTGACATAAGGCTGTTAATGAAAGGACTGCGTACTTCTGTGAAATTATATTTTAACGATCGACGAGTCCTTATCATCTCTTAAGGTGGTACTTTCAGGGCGCACAGAAGAATAGAAAGTTAAACCTACGTTAATCCAGTTTCTGATCCATTTAGACTCCAGTATGCAATGACATTCAAACCTGCGAATCAATGAAAACTGAATATCAATGCTCTTTAATTCTTATGAAACTTGGAGTCAAATCAATTTGGAGACTGGCAGCTGGATTATCATTATTTGACACTAGTTCTTATTGACAACTTGCTTCTTCTCAAGCCTTTTCAATGGCAATATATGCTTACCATCAATTTTGACTCCACGGCCACCCGCCAAAATGCTTATCAAAATAAGCAGCTGTCGAGGAAAATTGGAATAGCTGAGTCAAATACTGATTTCTCTTTTTTGATTGATACGTTTTGCCTTAGCCATGAGAGACTTCCAAAGTACCCGTTAAAGGTCTCTTGGGGAAATATCAAGTAGAAAACTTTAAGACAAATTGTCATAGAATACCCCAATTTCGAGTTCTCAAAACCAAGCAACATATTCTTTTGTTTTATTGATACCGTGAGAAACGCATGGGATTTGAAAAGAAAGACAATAGAATTGATTTGAAATCTCACACTTTTATTCTCACAATTATAGGAATATTTTACGCACAAATGAGGCTAACACAGAGCATTGGAGAGTTCGAAACTAGTTTCAAAAGCTGTGATGCCATGTTATGTAATGGGTGTAAAAATTAGTTTTGTTACTATCAGAGAAAGGCATGCGGACTCAAAAATATTCGGATATTAATTGAAGTTTCAAATATTTTCAGTTAACGAGATAGTGACTTCTCTTTCGATCTTTGACCATCCTAGCCTACTAAATACAATTGAAAAATGGCCGGATAGAAGAAATGTTTATTTGTTTTTTTCGACAGAGCAACTTTTAGTAAAAAGTCGATCTAGGCTTGCAAAACTCACTAGGTCGATCACAGAACCAAAGGTTACAAGTTGCATGGACAACAAATCAAAATTATCGCAAGTCGTCATTGGCCCCCAAACAATATCGTCTAATGGGAAAGAACAAGTTGCGTTTTCTTTGCTAGATATGAAATGTGTGTGCATGGCGATGTTCCACGTAAAAAAAAATAATAAAAATAAATGAAACCACACTCACACAATAAGGAACAGAGAAAAAAAAACGAAGCAAATTTCTGTGTCAAAATAAAATCGACTTCATACCTGATGAAAGGAGTAGATCATCCATAACTCAGGACTACTTTTCTTAGACATCTCTGAATTGTGGGCCTGCACGTTGAGATAATTTGAATTTAAAAGAAATTAATTTTTCGTTTTAAATTATCTCAGTATTTATCTTATAACCTTTCAATCAAGGAGGATGACTGTACTGATTTCTCTGTAGCTAGCTAACTTAATATAATTTAATAACAAACTGATACCATGGTATTAACTTTTCCGGTGTTTTCCAAACAGCAAGTTATACTTATTTTCGACTTTTTTTCGCAGTTTTTTGCATGCACTCTAATGTGTAGCTATTTAATTTTTTATAATATATGAAGTTTACAATAAACTTTCTTCTCTGCTCAACTTTTTGTAAGAGACAATCGCTGGCCATTAATTATAGATACAATTCGTGCCATTGGATCTCTGTCTAAGTCTATAGAGCTCCTCCTTACGACATAAAAGTCATCTAAAAAGAAAATTCGCATTTTATTACAAAATTTGGAGGTTTAGTGCAAATCGATTAAAAAACAAACGACTTACATAAATTTGAACATTCTAGAATTTACGAAGAAATGTTTTAACACGGAATGCCTGCGGGGGGACAAGTCTCGTCGCTATGTCATCGTGTTGAGTGACCGATCAGTAACCATCCACTTGTAGCAGGCGTTCCTTGTGAGTCCTTGATATTTTTAAGTTGAGAAGAGAAAATCTCTACTGAAAAAAGCAAACGTACATAACAGCAAAGAAAAAGAATAAAAGAAAAAGAAAAATAGAAAGAATAAAAAAAAAAAACAGGAAACAAACTAAAAAGGAACAATACACACAAAATATACAAAAAAGAGAAATTCCACCAGCAGGACTCGAACTCAGCACTTTCACTTCAGAATAAGATGTACCCCCCCGGAATACATAAGAAGTAATGACAATAAAAAACTAAAAAGATGGGACGATTCCCCCGAGACATTCTATGAAGCTGAGGCGGCGAATCGGCTTACGTTTCGGTTAGAGATTTCGGCTCTTCCACNTACATTTGCCATCAAAAAATTAAGTTTGCCGTCAACGTTGTATGTTTGCCAGCGTAAAAAATGGTTTGCCACCTTAAGATTAAGTTTGCCATGCTGTCATTTAGTTTGTCACCAACGGATTAAGTTTGCCATCACGTCTCAAATGTACGCCACGTTTTTTAACTTGCCGGTGGCCCTTCTGGGCTTCCGTAGTACGTCTATAGATCCCCGCGCAAGTCTTGAAAAAAGGGCGTGGCTGACTGATTTTTAACCCCTAAGAGATTGCACAACAAACATTTGTGTTAAATTAAATTAGCTGCAATCATAAAAACGCAGAGAAAAATCGATTCGATGCGCTCTTTCTCTTTTTTCGACACCCTGAGAGATTGCAGAAAATGCAAATATCCAGAAACTCAACTTTAGCACCCTAAAAGATTCCCAATCACGAATTTTTACCCCTAAGAGATCCGACGAGCATCCCCGGTACTTTTACCCCGCCCCCCGCCTCCCGGGCACTAATACAACAATTCTTTCGCTCAATTAGCAATGTTTTGTACGATTTAGCATTTATGTGACGAAAGGCCTTATGGGTCCTCTCGTCACTATGTCGTCGTGTTGAGTGATCGAACTGTAACCATCCACTTGTAGCAGGCGTTCCTTGTGAGTTATTGATATGTTAAGTTGAAAAGGGAAAAAGAAAATCTCTAGAGAAAAACAAACGAAGTACAACAGCAAAGAAAAGTAGAAACGAAAAAATAAAGAAGAAAAGAAGACAAGAAACAAACGAAAAAGAAAGGATAAACAAGCGAAAAAAAGAGAAAATACAGAAGCAGGACTCGAACTCAGAACTTTCACATCAGTAGAAGATGTACCCCCCCTGAATACATAAAAAATAATGAAAATAAAAAACTAAAAAGATGGGACGATTCCCCCGAGACATKMTATGAAGCTGAGGCGTCGAATCGGCTTACGTTACGGTTAGAGATTTCGGCTCTTCCACGCTATCCCGAGTGAACATAAAACTTAGTCTTAACCAAAAGGCCAGGGAGTGAGGGGGTAGCCGCCCACTAGAGCATACCTTTAGCTACCCTCTTAGACCATCGTACTATGAAGACACTTATAGATATCTAATATCTAATTGGGGTAGTCTATTCGGTGAAGTTCTATGCTAATATATGACGTCACCAAAATCCTTAGGGATCAGCGAGCCAATCAGAGCTCAGCTCGGGAATTAG